ATCCTGCAAAACCTCCTGCCCTTGGCCATTTCGTGGGAGCAAAATTTAACCAGGAGAAGGGTGGAGCAGCAATGAAAACAACAACAAAGTTCTTTGGGGTTCAGCTTCACCATTCATCTTAGACATGGAAAAAAGGGGGTTTCCTGACAGCAGGAAAATGTATGGTTTTAGAACAAGCCGCCCTTCCAGTTCTCCAACCACTTGGAACCAGCCTCGGTTGACCTTTTGAGGGCTCTGTGCTCCAGCTGTGGAGACACGCTGGGCTTGGGGGCCCAGGTTTGCCACACTCCACACTCACTTGTCAGCACTTGCCCACTCTGGAGGCAGAAATGCTGCAAAGCCTCCAGGGCAACAACGGGATGGGCTCGTGGCATTCCTGTGCACAGCTGCGGCTCTGTGCAGGGGACAGGCTGTGGCTGCACTGGCAGCCCACTCCCAGTGCTGGAAGCACTCCTGCTTCAGCCTAAAGGGGCTCAGCAAAAGGGTTTGGGGCAAGGGTTTGGGTTTTCCAGTTGCTGCCCCTCCTGCAGGTTTGAACCCAAGCAGCTTCCTCGGCAGAAGGCGAATGCCCAAGCAGAGTTCCAGGGCAAAGGGCAGGGGAAGAACAAACAGGTACATATTGGCATTAGTGGGCAGAAAGCTTCAAGGCAGACTGGAAAAAAACCAACAAAAACCAAGGGAAGATGCTGCCTGAGAGCCTGGTGTGGGTTTCACCAGGAAAAGAGAGCTGGCAAAGCAGATTTGGGGCTGCAGAAATGTATTGCTGTGACAGCAGCTCGTGTCCTCCGATGGGACCTGCACCCTACAGCATCCTGGGGGCTCAGCAAAGGGTGTCACCATGGCCTGTCAGATCAGGGTCTCACTGAGATGCCCTGCAAGGCCCACCCCCACCATCTGAGCCCAGAATGCCTGCAGTGGGCACCCACCATGGCCAGGGTCCTGCACCCCAGGGCATGCAGCAGCTGCACTGCCAGACAGTGTCCCAGGGCCACCTCTGTGGCATGGGGCCACACAGGGTGACAGTGCTTCCTTCCTCCCCACACTGCCAGCTCCTCCCTGGGGTGATGGAGCTGAACCCTGCCATCAGTCTTCCCCTTTGGTTGGGCTTTAGATCACCAGGGCAGCTGGACTAAGAGGACACAAAATGCTCACCCTGATCCCTTCTGGTGGCTGGGGCATGGCAGAGCCTCACTGCTGCCCTGGCACCATGACCACACCACAGGGGTCACCTGTGACCCTTGGGATTCTCCAGAACTTGGGCAGGGCATTGGGTCACCAATGCCCCTTTCCCTGGCTGTTTGCCTGCAGGATGAGTCCTGGGGGGCTCATTCCCAGTCCCTCTGTTTCAATGCAGCACCAAAGTCTGATGTGGGAGGAAGTTTTGCTGATACAAGTGACAGCCCAGCTCTGAAAGCTGTAGTCAAGGGACCTGATGCTGAGGACATGTCCCAACTCTGGAACATGTCCCCACCAGCACAAAGTGACATCTGCCTGAAGCCAGGTCTCCAAAGGCATCTGTCAGGGCTGGCAGTGTGCAGGCAGCAGCACCCACAGCTGAATAAACCATGGTGGGCAAATGCCCCTGGGTGCAGCGTTTGGGACGTGCTTCCCTTGTCCCCAGCTGTCCCCAGCTGCTGGTGTGGCCCTGGCCTGGCTGGTCCCACCACTGGTTGAGCCAGGCTCAGCCCTGCCCTGCCCACATCAATGCCACGTGGGGCCACGCTTTGGGTGGGAAGTGTGGCTGGAGAGCAGGGCCAGACCTGTCCTCAGCATGGTCACACTCACCTCCTGCCCGTGCCAGCACAGGCTCCCAAAGCTCCTCCTGCACCTCCTGGTGCCTCCCTTGCAGGGCTCTGCATGCAACCAGTGGGGTTTGGTCTTGTACTGGGGCTGAGGGAAAAATCATCCCTCGGTCGTGTTGGGAGCTCTCAGAGCTGTGCTAAGCCAGCCCTTTGATCCAGCATTGCCCTGTGATGCAGAGTTCTTCCTTTTCATCCCACTCCTGCCTTGGTCCTCTGTCTGGTTCCTCATTTCCTTGAAAGATGCCACTCTTCATCCCTCAGATTACCACTGTCCTGAGGTCTCTGGCAGCTTGCTATGAACCAGGAGCAGCCCAGCACCTGCCCAGCTCAGCTCTAACCCTGGCCATGCCGGTGCTGTATCCCTCCCTTTCCTCTGATCTTCCCTCCCGTCAGCCCCCAGGCTCCTCCAGCCCTTCAGCCCCGCTGAGTATTGATCTCTGATCCTTCTGCTCCTTTCCCACCAATCAGTACCCAAGGCAGAACAGGCACCTGCCCTAACACCACAATACCTCTAGCAGTAGAAACATCACTGGCAGGGCTTGCCGTACTAAATCCCCCAGCTGATTGCCATGGGGCTACATTTATGTTACAAAATAATTAATTCTGTTTCAGTGCAAAAGCTGGGGTCGGGGAGGTGGTTGGTGGCAGAGCTGTGCCTGTCGTGCTGCCCAGTGGTGCCAGGACAGAGCCATGGGTCTGTTCTCCTCTACTCAGCAGGAGCTGGATAGGTTTGTGTGGTCCTTTTGGGAGGGCTTATGGTTGGATTTAGCTTGGAGGATGCTCAAGCAGAAATACACTGGGAGCAGAGATGGCTGGTCTGGAGAAGGACCCCAGCATCATGCTCATCCTGGGAGAAGAGGGGCTGTCAGCTCTCGTGGTGTTAAGGACTGGGGAGGTGTTCAGACACACTGAAGCATCTCACACTTCCCATCAGCAGGATTTGCCTTCCCAGCCTCTGGGAATGGCAGAGAAATCACTGCAGGGCAGAGATCTCCCCAAAGGTACCGCTGGCCTCCGCTGCCTCAGCCACATGCGTGGGCACATCTGCAGCGTTATCAGTGCTGTGGGCTCTTTATCAGTGCCGTGGGCTCTCAGGGCAGCGAGGACACAGCAGGGTGCAGCCACATGGGCATAACCACAGCAGAGCCCACCCAGCCATGCCAAGGATCCCTGGCACCTCTGTGCTGGTAGGATTGGGGTCAGCCCAGCCCCATCCCGCAGAGCCCAGGGGCTCAAGCCCTCAACCTCTTTAATCTTTTTCTAAAAGATTGCTAAGGAGGGGGGGGTGGGATTGAAAACCGAGTCTAAAAATAACTCCTAAAACTTCCTGTGCTGCTGGCAGGTGGCTGGGACAGGCTGCGGGGGCGGGAGGCAGCTGTGGGGCTCGGCGGCGGTGCCTGGGCTGCTTCCATGGGGTAACCCCGGCAGAGGGGTCCCGGGGGGTGCCAGCCCCCTGCCGCCCACCCCGGCTGCCTGCGGGGCTGCCTCGCCTCTGGTTGCGCTCAGTGGCTGCTTCCAGCCAAATTTGGCAGAGATCAGAGGTGCTGGGACCTCCTGGGAGAATGCCAGGGAGGGGGTGGGGAAGCTGCAGGCTGTGCTGAGCCCTTATTAGACGCTGGAGAATCCAGCAGCACGCGGGCAGCCGGGCTGCCAAGCTCTCCTTGTGCTGATCCAGCGTGGCTGGTCTAGCAGGTGATGGGTGTTTGCAGCTCCTCCAAGGCATGGAGATGGAGAGAGCTCGGATCCGGTGCTGCTCCTGGCTGAGGCATCACTGGGCTATGACAGGGACTTAGATAGGCATGGTGTCTCTGTTGCCACTGGGGGTTTGTTCATTGTCCCCACCCAAATGATCCTTGCAGGGTTCTGTGATGAGCAGCAGAGCTGCTGTCCCGGTTTTGACCCATAAAATACGAAGGGAAGGTCTTTTCCTGGGGTGGAGAGTGGCAAGAGGTAGCCAGAGAACAAAAACACTCTCGGTGCCTGTGAGCTGGGGATGCCGGAGGCCAGGGGAGCGTGGCTGCATCTGACAGCCCCAGCTCTCGCCCTGCCTCGTAGCAGCAAAGGGAATCCTGGAAAACCTTCTGGGGGATAAACGAGGTTCGGGTGCCCGGAGAAGCGGAGCCCGGCTGAGCCCCTGGAGCGCCAGGGGGAGAGGGCAGAGGAAGGAGCTGCCGAAGCCGGCGGTGGATTTGGGGTGATGGAAGGTTTCCATCCGGATGGAGCGGCGCTGGGGCCAGCAGCAGCACAACGGCGTTGGGCTCGGGAGGAGAGGCGATGATAACTCGGGTCCCGGGGAAGGAGAGGGAAGCGGCGGCGCTGAGCCGGGCGCTGGGATGAGCTGATAACAGGCACATGGTGCTGCCCCGGGGCAGCGGCGTGGGCGCCAGCATCCCTCCGCCCCTTCTCCCCTCGCTGCCCTTCCTCACCTGCGGTGAGACCGTGCCACTGAGGGGCAGCCGCCAGCAGACACCACAAGCGGTGCTGGTCGCTTGTGGGCTGGAGCCTCCTCTGCCCACAGCATTGTCGAGGGTGAATTTAATCAAGAAAACGGAGGTTGGCCGCTGATTTCTCTCTCTCTCTCCCTCTTCTGTTTCTTTTTTTTTTTCCTGAAGAGGAAAAAAACCAAACAACTTTGTTTGTGAGTCACTCTTGGCCGAGGCAGCAGGGCTGCGCTGTGCATCAGGCTGGCACATCCCACCTCGCACGGGCGATGCTGCCGGGAGGCACCGCCGGCGGCTCTGACTCAGCCCCAGCTCAGCACAGCCCCTGTCCCCCCACTGCCCACCTCGCTGCCGGTGTCTGTGCCCTGTGGGCAGTGCTGGAAGCCCGGGGACATCGGGAGCACAGTGTGGCAGAAAGCACTGTCGCTTTGAAGTGGCCTCGGCTGGTCAGCGAGGACCTGGGTGCAACCTGCACGCACCCTGGGGACATGTCCTGTCTGTCACCCTCGGCAGAGCCGCTCCTGGCCACGGGGCTGTTCCAGCACCAGCGTGCCCGGGCTATCTCCAGGAAGGTGCCATCAGTGCCTGGGGAGCCCCATCTGCTGCTGGATCCAGCCCTCCTGGGAGGCAGGAGGCTGACCTGGCTCAGCCCCTGGTGGGACCCACCGTGGCCCTCGATGGGGCAGCTGGCCCCATGATGGAGCAGCAAGGACAGCATCTGGGCTGGGCTGGGGCTTTCCCAAAAAAGGCCTGAACTCTTCAGTTGAGTTTGCCACTTCCCTTACCACTCCCTTTCCTGTGAGAGGATGTGCTCAGCCGCTTTTCTCTTTCTCTCTTCTTTTCTCCCCCACCTCCCTGCCCGCAGACTGGCGGTCCTGGCGATGCCGTGCACCCCCTGAGCCAGCCGGGGTCACCCTGGCTGGTGCCATGGCCAGGCTGCAGGTATGGACACAACACAGGAGCTGCTCCCACACCCCCCAGCCCTCCCAGCACCCACGGCACAGGGTTGGTGGGCACATCAGGGAGCAGCACAGGTTGTGCTGGGAGTGCCCCTGCACTGAGGTGGGTGCTGATTTGTGCCCCATGCTGCAGAACTGGGGGAGGTTGCTTTGCCCAGGGTGAGCAGGGCACAAGGAACTTCATATGCAGGTGGATGGGATGGGACCAACATCTCAGCAAGGCCTGCTAGAAGGGGAGGTTCCCCTTTGAAAGTGATTTTGGGGAGAGCTCGTCTTGTCCGGTTGCATGGAGGTTCCCCACTCCATTTGGCAGGAGGACAGTGTGGTGCCAGACATCATGGGGACATCACGGGCGTGTGATGCCACCTGGCACAGCCCAGGGGCACACAGGGACTCCAGACTCACGGGGGCCTTGGGGAGCTCAGGGAGGGTGGCTTCTGGGGCTCTCTTCTCTCTGTGAGGAAATGTCCCCTTTTTGTCATCCTTCCTGTTTCTGCAGCCTCGAGCGCACGCCCCTGCCTTCCCTCCAGCACTTCCCTATCCACCAGCCCCAGCAGCCCTGTGGGGAGGCCTGGCACTGGGGCAGCTGGTGACAGCCTCACAGCACCCAGCCCCTGCCAGCGTGGAGAGGTGGGGGTGCCAGGGGCAATAAAGGGTGCTGGGAAATCATCCCTGCAAATCCAAATCCAGACCACGATGGCAGTGCCTTTCAGTGTCCATCAGAGTGTGCTGGTGTTGTCTTTTGGTGCCAATCCAAATATGCTGAGCTTGGCTTTTGGTGCCAGCCCAGATGTGCTGGCATTGCTTTTTGGTATCAACAAGCATCACACCAGCAGCACCTCTTGGTGCCATCAGACAAGGTCCCTGTGGTCCCTGTGCAGGCCCACAGTTCCTTTCTCCCTTTTCCCCATGGCACAGCACACTCCTCCAGAATGGCCCTGGGTGTGTCCACATCACCCAGGGTGGGCAGAGACCTGATCCTGCTCCTGGCCAGGTGCTGAGTATGGGAAGGGGGTGCTCCTGCCAGGGGATTCCACTCCCTCCTGCTGCCTCTCCAGGGTGTGTTGGCTCAGCCACCTGCAGGTCAGCTCTGGCCAACAAGCAAAGCGAAGTACCTGGATATCCCCACAGAGCAAAGCCACACGCTGTCCCCACATCCTGGTCCCTCAGTCACCCCCAGTCCAACTGTTCCATAGCCCAGGGCTGTGGCAGAGCCAAGCTGAGCTGGGAGGGAGCTGGGCTTTCCCAGTCTTCAGGTTCTCCTGCTCATCCTGTTCTCCCAACCCCAGTTCCTGCTGGTGCCGCAGCCCCCACGGGGCTGGGTGCCATGGGATGAGCAGTGGGATGTGGGTGGGCAGTGGGAAGAGGGGTGCTGGCAGTGGAAGATGGTTTGGACCAGGGGAGGCAAAGGAAAGGGGATAAGTGGGGACCCAAAGGCAGCACGGTGCAAGAGGGAGCAGAGCTGCTGCTGAACCGGGTGACAAGGTCACAGCCATCCTGCCAGCACTTGGGGCTATAAATAGGGACAATTGGGAGTGAAACACAGACTCTCTCCTTTTTCGTTCCTGTGGGAGCACTGGGAGTGTGGGAGGGTTTGTGAGGGCCCAGGAAAGCACTGCTGGGTGATGGCTGTGCTGGGAACAGGGTGGGGCTCTACCCCCAGGGCTCATGGAGGCCTCTGGGGACGGCACTGTCCCCAGCTGCATCCCACAGCCTTGCTCTGTCCCCTTGCTGAGTAACAGCAAAACTCAGACCCGAGACGCTGAGGCCTGGGGCTGCTCAAGGTGGGGATGCTGAGGCTGAGATCTCCAGGGGCTCTCCCTGCCTGCTGCCTCTGCTCCATTCCTTCCTTCTGGCAGGGGAAGGACCAGGATTGCTGCCCACCACCCTTGGCAAGGCACAGGGAGGTGGACGCAGCTGTGGCTTGACATAACCACTGCCCATGCTGAGCCCAGCATCTCTCCTACCCAGGAGCATCCCTGCTCCAGGCTGAGTCAGTGCTGTGGGCGGGGACAGGCAGCTGGCATGGGACAAGGTTTGGTTTGGGACAAGGGGCTGTGAAAACTCACCACCACCACCCTGTTTCCTTCCACTCACATGATGCCGTGGAGCAGCTCCGACTTCCCCATGCCATGCCTGAAGACAACAGGGATTTCGGCCTCTCTTCCTCATGGCACAAGCATGGCCAGGGGTGTGCAGGGCAAGCCCTGGACCCCTCACCCTGCCAAGCCCCACTGCTGCCTGCAGTGAGCCCCACAGCATCCCCAAAGTGTGGGATGGGATCCCAGGCAAAGCAGGGGGCTGGCAGAGCATGTCCCAATGCATTTCCTCTTCTACTTTCCTTCTCACTTCCTTTTCTTGCACTTTCTGCCTGTTGCCCTGCCCTCGCTTGCCACCTGCCCAGGGCTTTCCCCAGCACTCAGCAGCCCCCGGAGCCGCTCGAAGCCGGGGATTCTGTGCAGTAACGTGGTGCCACTCCTCTCCCTCCCCACAGGCTCCATCCAGGAGGTGGCAGGGACATTAGCCAGGGGGTCTCACAGCTCACCCACGGGCTGGGAGGAGCTGAGAGTGGCAGAACAGCCCCTGAAGCACGACCCAACGCCGCCCACCGTGTATGAGGCTGGGACACAGGTGAGAGTGACCAGCCAGGGGCCAGAGAGGCAAGCAGGAGCCACAAGTAAATTACAGCAAGCCACTGCACAGGGGCTGCTCCTCTATCTGCTTGCACAAGATGGGGTTTGATCACTGGCAGCTCCCTGACCCTGTCCACCCTCCTGCCTTTCAGTACGCAGGACCCGCGTCCGCAGAGTCACTCCTTCCGATGTCCCGGCATGAGACTTCTCCGACAACGGTGCAACCCGCCAGCAACCACCGCCCCAACGCCTGCTGCTTCTGCTGGTGCTGCTGCTGCAGCTGCTCGTGGTACGTCCCACTACCCAGCCGGGCTGGCTCCTGCAGGCTCCCTGAGCATCCCCCACCCACCTCGTCACCCGTGGGCAGGGCAGGGTAGAGTCCTGGGTGCACTGTGACTGCCGTTCACTTGCCAAATCTCTTGGAGTACATAGAGCAGAAAGCAGCAGTGGGACTCCCCAGGGCTGCCCTGATGGTGTCCAGGGAAGGATGGTCCCGGTCCATATGAGCCCTCCGGGAAGCTCTGCCTTGGAGCAGTGAGCACAGAGTCCAGCCCTGCCCTCCCAACACTGCCCAAAGCCAAGGATGGAACCAGCTCTTGCCTCCATCTGCATCTCCTGTCCTTACTGAGGATCTCCAGCTCCTTATTCTCTGGATAGCCCAGATTTTGGAGAGCCCATCTGCTCTTCCTCCTCAGCATCTGCTTAGTCAGAGATTGCTGATGACTCCAGCTTTGCAGCAGCTTTGGTCTTTACAGCCACCAAGAGCAGCGAGCTTGGAGAAGTAAAAAACCCTGGAGCTGAGCCCCATGCATCTCCCTCCTAGACACTGCCCTAGGCTTGGTGGCATTCCCTGTGCCTCTCCTTCATCTCTGCAAGAGCCTGTGAGCAGAGATGGAGCAGAAATCCCAGAGATGGGACAGCTGTCCCTCCTGTATCCTGTTCCTGGAGCAAGTGGTGCTGGTTGCTGAGTGGGGCTCAAGCAGTGAGCCCTGGGGACTCACAGGCAGGGACATGTCCCCAGCTTCGCCCAGGCCAGCTGCCCACGCTGGGGCAGAGGTTTGCACAGCCAGTCCTGTGCGAGCAGCGAGGGACAGTGTCGCAAGCAGGAAGGGCTGCGGTTACTGCTGGGCACCGGAATTCACAGGCCCAGGGGAAGTTGGCCGGTGGCTGCTCTCCACTTGTGCCATCAACACCCCCGGGGACAAGGGGACACAGGGACAGGGAACACCGTATCCCCAAGCCCCAGCACCTCTATCCCACTGTCTGCCTCCAGGCCGGACTGGTGCTGGCACATCACCAATAAACACTTGTTTACTTCTTGGTGATTATTCCTGACACAACCGCTCACAATTGTTGTGAACGCATCAGCTTCGCCTTGGGCTGATCCAGCACTGACCTCTGCCGGCTGCTGTGGCCACTCAGGCTCAGCTCAGTCCTGGCACATGGCCCTGGCACATGGCCCTGGCACACAGCCCGAGTGGTGGAGCAGCTCCTGAGCACAGGGACACGCTCACATGGTGACAGCAAAACTGCATGAGGGAACCAGGGTGCCACCAGGGCAGTGGGTGAGAGGAAGGCATGGGTGAGGGGTACTGGTGCCCATGGAGGAGATTCAGTGGTCAGGGGTCTGCATGTGTCCCCAATGCCCCTGACTACCTTTCTGTCTCCCTGTTAGGAACGAGGACCGAGAGCGAGCATGGAGGGCATCCCGGGAGACCAAACTGGAGAGAATCCCAAACTGTGAAGCGTGGTGAGTGGAGGGGCAGTGCAGTGGGCTGGGGACAAGCACAGCATGGCACTGTGCCCTCTGCCACTCTCCATGGCAGCCAAGACTATGTTCTGCCCTTGGAGTACACAGCAGGCAGAGGATCAGGACACCAGGGTTCAGGGTTACTGGTGATGTGTCCAGCCAGCAGCTCATCCCCAGTTCTCACCAAGAAACAGGGCATCTGGAGCCACAGGCTGAATCCTACTGTGATTCTGCCCTCAAGCCCATTGCAAAGGGAAACTGAGATACAGAAGAACCTCAGCAGATTTTGGACCTCATTCTGCAATTTAGACTCACTGCCAAGAGCATCTTGCAGCCACAGGGAGAGGAGGGGACAGGCCATTCCTGGGAGTTTCAGCGCTGAAGTGGAAGCAGCAGCAGCATCCATGTCCACTCAGGGAGGAGTGGGATGGGCCAGCTCCCCACTCCAGGAATGCTCGGCACCAAGCATTGATAAGGGTGACACACCCAGCCATGGGGGCTCTGTGCAGTGCCTGGAACAGCTGGGTTAGGGTTAGATATGCTAATTAGCCATGGATAATGAGTGTACCTGGCCTGCTTGAGCAGGTGCTGAGCATTTGCTGGGAAACAGCCTCCCTCCCTCCCTCCTTCTCCACTCCCTTCTCTCCTTTCCTAGCTGAGAGGGGTGATGGACCCATGTCATCTCTCTTGGCTCAGAGCTGCCTCTCCACCAAAGGGCTTTTCCTTCTGTGGGGATTTGTGCACAGACAGCACCAAAATACATTCCAGTTTGGGAAATCCAGCCCAAAACAAAGCCACGCTCCAGCCTGGCTGAGCAGAGCCAGGACAGACCCCAGGAGTGAGCTGTGAAAGCTCCGCACCACCGGAGCCTGAGCAGGAACAGCCTCGTCGTGAGCACGGGGGACGTGGTTGGGCACAGTTCCTTTGGGATGGGACCAGGGATGAGCAGGAGGGACACAGTGGGATCCCTGGCTGGCTCTAACCCCATCCCCTTGCCTTTCCATGGACCTGTCAGTGCCAAACCCACGCCAGAGGAGGTGCAGGGCTGGGCACAGTCCTTCGACAAGCTGATGAAGAGCCCGGCGGGGCGCAACGTCTTCCGGGAGTTTTTGCGGACTGAGTACAGCGAGGAGAACATGCTCTTCTGGCTGGCATGTGAGGAGCTCAAAACCGAGTGCAACAAGCAGACCATCGACGAGAAGGCCAGGATGATCTACGAGGACTACATCTCCATCCTCTCTCCCAAAGAGGTAGGAGACAGAGCCTTTGAGAGAAGGGCTCAGGCTAAAATGGGGAGGGCTCTTAGGGAGAGGGCTCACTTCCAACTGCTGCCAGAGCCCTGTGACAGTTTGGGGATGAGTTGGGCAGGGGAACGGCGGTAGGAAGGGGATATCCAGCCCCCAAAAATCCTCGGCACGCTGCTGGCAGTGGGACCGCGGGCTGGGTTGTGCTACGGGGCCGAGACCTCACGAGGGCACCAGCGGACCGAGAAAAATTCTGCATCCCGGCCTGCAGCATCCCCGGAGTGGGGGTACCCGGGGCGGGACCACCCCAGCCCACCTCCCTGTGCCCAGCTGGGGAACACACAGGGTACCCAGAGAGACCCTCACTCCTCCCTGCAACCCTCCCCAACCACCAGGGCTCCAGTGCCAATATCTTCTGGGATGAAGCACACTGTTGTCTCCCCACATCTGGTGCTGCATTGTTACCCAATTCCCCTTGAGAGGGGGTGCGGGAATGGGTGCTGGGCCGGGGGCTTGTCCTTGGGTGTCCCCCAGCCCCCACTTTTCTCTCCGTGCCCCCCAGGTGAGCCTGGACTCGCGGGTGCGGGAGGTCATCAACCGGAAGATGCAGGAGCCGTCCTCGCACACCTTCGACGACGCACAGCTCCAGATCTACACGCTGATGCACAGAGACTCCTATCCCCGCTTCCTGAACTCTGCCATTTACAAATCGCTGCTCCAGACCGTCTCCCACTCCTCCTCGGAGTCCTAAGGGCACCCACTAGCCGTGGGGACACCAGTGGGGACACGGTGGCCAGGGGCGGTCGGTGCCTCCTCCCCTCTGCTGCCCACCTTGCCAGACCTCACCAAGTTTTTAGCTTTTTACCTATGAACTGTCACCCCAGTGTCTGGGCCACACTCCAGGACTGTCCCCAGGACACAGCCTGGGCCAGTTCATACTACTGATTCTCTGCCCCATCCCCAGCACTGGCCAGAGGGAGCTGGGGGAGCACGGGACAGCGCCCAGCCCTGGCTCCCCCCACACCCTGTTTGGAAGAGGTCACTTTATCCCATCTCCACCACACCTGGGGACACGGCACGTCCCCATTTGCCACCTGAGACCCAGTTGGGGACTGGGTTGGGGGTTTTTTGAGGTGGGGGAGAGGTCAACTGTTGTTGGTTTGGGTTTGTTTTTTGGGTTTTTTTTTTAATTTTAAATGCTCTTTTGGTTGGCTTTTACTGGGGGACTCGAGGTGCGGGAGGGGGGGGTTGATGAGCATCTCTGTACATATAAAAACTTGTCAGGTTTATCTCGTTCCAGCTGTTTGAGGTGGCCAAAGGGCAGGGGGGTGGTGCTAGAAGCTGTTTGTATTCCCCATGGGGCAGAGGGCAGAGCTCTGAGGCGCTATAAGGGACCATGGGGATGTGCTGGGGGGGTGGGCAGGAGCTGTCTCACAGCTGCTCCCCCTGCCAGTCCCCATGACACATCAGCAGTGCTTAAGCCTCATGACACCACATGTGGTCACCCCAAACCCAGAGCATCCTCCATCCTTGGTTCATGGACCTCAGAGAGGGGGAAACCACTTGTGCAGGCATTGTTTTCCCTCCTGCAGAACCCACTGGCACCAGGATGCCTGCATGAGAGAGCTCCCAGCTGGCCCAGACCTGCTGTGCCAGCAGGGAGAAGCCCAGGGGTCTGCCCTGACCCCTGGAGCAGGGACCTGGGCTCCACACAGCATGGGAAGTGTCACAGGGAGGATACAGAATTCCCATGTTTTTGCACAGCACAAGGAATGATTTACTGAAGGCAACAGGATCCAGGATTAAAACATGTCTGTCCCTGCCCTCCACACAGAAACAAAGCCAACACAGGGGTTTTGCTGCCAGTCTTTGCTTTTCCTGATCCACCACAGCAGTTTCTTATTTATCCATCCCTTCCCCTCCTCTCTTCAACCCTTCCAAAAGAAAAGAAGTGCTTTTTATTGAACATATTTTTTAAACAAACCAATTCTTTCAGCTTTTTTTTTTGTTGTTTTTGTTTCCTTCCTTCCTCATGGCATGACTGTGTGGAAATTCATGTCAGTAAATTTAGTTTTCTTTGCCAAGCTGGAAATACAGTTCAGGAAAATGTATTTTTGAGAGAGACCAGCAATGGTTTATTAGGAATGTTGGTATTGTTATTATTGGCAGGTTTTCCCCCCGTCTGCAACCTTACAGCATCCCCACCCTGCACAGGAGAAGTTTTAGTTTGGGGTTTATTCTGTGAGTAAGGGAAATACTCTCAAGTGTGGCCCCAGCTTGAGGGTTGGAGGCTGAACATCCCTGAAGCTGTTCAAGAGCATAGCAACAGGTCAGAACCCCTCCACACACTACAGAGGTCTCAGCACGAGAAGACCTCACTGTCACGAGATAATCTAGTTTTTCTCTTGCTCCCACTCCCTTTTAAACACCTTAAAATCAAATTTTTACTTCTGAAACACTTTTTTATCCAGTGTGTTTCCCCTCCCTGGCTCTCCTTGGTGTTACCCCAGAAAATGGAACTGTAAAATGACATGGTACTTCTCCCAAACTCCTGCTTGTGACTCTTGGTACCTAATTCAGGATTATCAGTAGGCTGTACACAAGCTCAGCTCCTCACAGGAACACAAGAAGAAAGGCAAGAGGCACTGGTAAAGAGCTGGCTCCCTTTCCCAGCACACGAGCCAGTGCTGTGGTCAGCATGGGTTTTAGATCCTGAAGCTTTTTCAGCATCACTGTGAGGACACTGCTCCCTCCCAAGCATGGCTTGAATAATCCCATTCACCACAAGACTCGTGAGGCTTAAAGGAGTTGTCAGCGTCTTTGAATATTTTCCTGCTTGGGAGACTTGGCTGCACCCCGTAAAGTGAAAGCCCTGAGCGAAGGATGCTGGTGGGATCCCTGCCTCCGGAGCAGCACAGCCCTCAAAGGGGCTGGGAGCACGTTTTCCGCTGCTTTCATGTGGCTGCTCACTCCTCTCCAAACATCTCCGAGGTCTCTGCTCAATGTCTGCTTGTCTGGCATGCTGGCAAGCCAGTGGAAATACTTGTTTTTCACTCTGGAAGAGGGAAGCGATGCCATGAGAGATGTGACTGCAAATGCTCCTGCCCTGCCTGTCAGCACAAGAGCTGGAGGGCACAGCACTGCTCCGGGGCAGCCTCAGACCCAGACCTTGCTGGGGTCCCCCAAATGCTGCATCACTCCAGTTAAAGGCTATGAAAAGGAAAGAAGAGAGGTTTTTAAGTCCGGCTGAAAGCTGTTGAGCTCAGATGGAATTTCCCCACCAGGTTTTAGTTATCTCCCAGAAGGAGCCTGATTCTGTATCTCTCCTTCACAGGGTCACATCTGCAGCTATGGCATCTGGGGCTGCCTTTGCTACAGGATCCTTTCCTTATCTGACCCCTTCCAAGCACCACTGAGCTCACTTCAAACCTCCTCCACTTCTACAGCTAAGTGCTAACAGCTCCCACCCATCCCTCTAGCCCTTACCTTGTCCAGATCCAAGCCTCTGGAAAAATTCCTGAATTTGCAGCATTTTCCCTCCTCCTGAGCCTTCCAGCAAGCCCCTCTGAAACTCCACGTTGTTTTTCAGCTGTCAAGCTACAAGCAGAGCACAATCAGGAAAGTGCCTGGGACTGCCTTTGAACAGTTTGGGGTGGGATTTTCTGTGGCTGGTGTCACCCTGCTTTGAGTCTGTTACAACCTGGGCAGTACATTCTGATCTTTGCAGCAGCTGATGTTGGCATTTAAAGGCACAAAATGACAAGGAATCAGTACAAAATCCAGCAAATGCTGCCAAGATGAAAAGCAACATCTGATCTCTGCCCCAAAAGCTGTTTCCTGTCAACAGTACTGCCCCAAAAGCTGCCCCAGGCCGTGGACCAGTGATTGATTCCATGAGGTGACAGAAACAAGCCTTCACACACCAAAGGTGTGCCTGCAAGCCACATCTCACTTTCTGCTGCTCCAGGCCTTATTCAATCCTCATCCACCTGGACATAGACCGCCTGTCAAGCTCCCATATTGGAAAAACAAAGTGCTGCACACACAATTGAAATAAAAGTCAGAATCTGACAAAAATGTTTAATATTAGTTTTGAAGAGAAAGTGACCGTACTTGCTTAGATGAGAAAGTAATGACTGGGTGTGTTTAGTGAGCTCTCCTGCCAACCTGTCAGCCCATGGCTGTGGCTCTCTGTGAGGTCCAGGCCTCCCTGCTGCTGCTCTCAGCGTGTGACAATGCAAACTCACTGGGACACAAAACACAACTGCCATGGGAGCCGGCGTGTGGAGGCTGCGCTCAGGTCTGCGTTTGGCTGCCGCTCTGGGCCTTGGCACGTGTCAGCAGAACTGCAAGAGAAGGGATTTAAACCCCAATTAGAAACCTCACTGCCAAGGGGAGCTGCAGAAAAAGGTAAGGATCCAGGTGTGGGCTTGTTTCAGAAGCTGGCAAGGGCTTAGGGATTTTCAGAAGCAGAGGGAGCTCCCATGGGAATCTCTTGCTGTGGCTCTTTGGCAGTTTGTAGTGGCATCATTTCTGCTTGCCACTGACCAGGAGATTTCTGCTCACCCCTGAACTCTGAGCACAGCATGAAAGAGCCATTTTGAAATCCTGAACATCATCACCACTACCCTCAGAGGGCAGAGGCAGCATGGAAAGCATTGTGAAGCTGGTTATGGAAGAAGGGATGTAAGAGGAGAGCAGGGAATGTGGAAGTGAGACTTGACCCCAGCTGGTCTGCAGGGATGAACCCAGGAGCTCTCGCCTCTGTGCTGGGAGGGAAGATCACTCTCTAGAGCCAGTGAGGATTTGGCAAGCACCTCTGAGCAGCAGCCAAGTGCCTGCAGCATGGTGGGTGCAGCCACCCCAACACCCCTCAGTGCCAGTAACAGCCCTGGTGCACTACCTTCCAGCGATTCCCACACTCATTGCACACGACGAAGGTGGTCATGGGCTCATCGGAGCTGCGGGTCTGCACCTGGGGGGGACAGAAGGGAGGTGAGAGCTGAGCATCACACATGGCCCTGTCCCTCTGGCCTCCAGGGATTCATGCTGAGCTCACAAAATCAATGAGAGGCCGAGGTTTGGGACAGCAAAAGGAGCTTTGCAGTAAAATCAGTCTGGTGGTTGTGTTACACACAGTACATACATACACACACCATGATCCCGTTCAGCCTGATACTACCTCAGTGATAAGTTTTGGGGCAGCATATTTCCCTCCTCATTCAATCTGCTGCCCATTTCTTGCAGGTGACTCTGGAAGTGGACATGGCCACAGCCAACCCCTCCCCAAACTGTCCCCCAGGAAGGGATGTGGCCAGCACTGCCATGACAAATGCCTCAGTCCCAAGCACAAGCATAAAAAAAGCACTCCAGTCATTCCCATTTACAGAGCAGTCCTACATCCTGGCCTCACAGGAACACACTCCGGGTTACCAAGTTCTGCACAGTTCCAGTCTGGTTTGTGTTTGAGCCATTAAGGAACTCTGATATTTAACCCAGATGTGATTGCTGCCTCTGACTGGCTCTTGCCAGAAACACATACTTTACTAAAAACCAGATTTTCGTGGCATTTGAATACCACAAGGCAAATCTAGACTGAAAACACTGGTAACTCCCCACACTAGTCAGGCAGAACTGTGCCGAGGAGTGATTATGGTGATCTATGTGAGTAATTACCCAATGTGCAAGAGTCACAGTATTTGCATGATGCAAATTAACCATTTTTGCAAGAATGCTGGATAGCTAAATTCTGTAATTCTCCTCCTTTACTGTCTGCTTCCAACATGCTCATAAATGCCAGCTCATCTACTTGAGACATCTCATCACCCACTAGTGATTTCACTAGAAAACAAATCAAAATACAGAAAGCCTCCTGATACTGCTATTTCAAGGACATTGCTGTCTCCTGCTTAAATTCCAGGCAGTCAAACTCCAGTCCACTCCAGGTGGAGACAGTGCTGTGTGCTGGGACAGCGCAGGAATACTTACTGGGAGCACTGGCAGAGCAAGGCCCCTTGCCTGAGCCAGCCTGTGGGATGCAAGGCTACTGCTGAGCCAAAGGAAACTCCCTGGTCAAATTCCTGGATCTCCTTCTCTGTCCATGTGTTTGTGTGTCAAGTCCAAGCAGATGCAGCAGTCTCACCCGGCACTTGCACACGCAGTTTGTGCGCAGTCACTCAGCAGCAATCTGGTGGCTGCTGGTGCATTTTTGGGTATCTGCACATTCTAAACCACTGACTCACAGCAAAGGCACATTTATCTCCAGATGCCTGGCACAAACACAGAAGCT